CGAGGAGAAGGAGGAGCGTGGGGGAGACAGGTGAGTTCAGTGTGGGACCCGTTGAGTTGAAAGTCCTCAATGAACGTGCCAGTCCAGCAAGAAGGTAGCTGTCTCCATTGCCACCGTCGTCACCCTTCTGGGCCTTACCGTGTGCTAAGCACTGTGTTGAATGACTCGCACACATTCTGATTTAATTCTCCCAAATGCACATGGGAGAAGCCGGGATCAGCCTTACTGGAAAGATGAGTACACTGAGGCTCGGAGAAGTAAGTAACTTGCTGGGTTTGCCCAAGGTGCTGTAGATTTTAGGCTCATTGACACACACATGGTAGTTAAACCATGAAAATGCATGAGACTGTCTAACAATAAACAAGCTGTTTATCGGCAAGAACAGTGAGGAGAAGGAAGGAACTCTGGAGAACTGCAATAGTTAAGGAGTGAGCTCAGGGAAAGGAAATACCCTCGGAAGACCAAGAATCGATCAGAGAAATAGAGGAGCAGGAGAAATTTCAAAAAGAGTGATGTCAATTGCAGCAGAGGCATTTGGCACAATAAGGTCTGAGAGTATTCACTGCTTTTGCCAATGTGCAGGTCACCGGAGTCTCCCTAAAGCTGGCTCAGGGGTGGATGCAAAGTCAATGTCGAGTGGCCCGAGGAACAGAGAGCCCCAGAGACCCATTCACTAGGTCCCAAGGGAACAGGGTGGGTGTCCCAGCCTGTCACAGCACGGCACCTGCACCAGCTCACAATGTGGAAATATACTTTTAGTACTATAGCATTTGATTATTGCAAAATATCAAAATAAGACAACTGGGCTATTGGAAGGAGATAGGGGTGGATGGAGGGCATTCACCCATGGATGAGGGGATGTTCCTAAAACTCCAATAACCACAAGTGGAAGGGCAAGGAGACTTTCTTTTAGCTCTGTCACAGTCTCCTAAAAATATTAAAATACGGCAACCCTGCAGAATGCACCTTGCATTTCCCCTTCTCAGCCATGAGGGGAAATGCATTTTTACCCCCATGGCATGTTATGTGTCTGAGGGTGGTAGTGTCTTGTTTTTGTGCCATGAAACCTATGACCTGTCACATGTGATCATCATGTCAGCGTATTAACATGTCAGAGAGCAATTCCTGGCTTCCACCTCAGAGGGAAACCTGCTTAGGGTGGGGGGCATTCTGCTAGCCAGATGGGGCAGAGTCCTGCCAGCTCCCAGTGCCAGGGAAACCCTGGGCAGTAATCAATACCAAACCTGACTGCAAAGAGGACCACCCGAAGGCCTGTGGCTGGGAACCAAACCTCCCTCCTACCTGGGTCTGATCTCTTGGCAAGTTTCCTTCCTAGTCCCAGCTTTGTTCCCACTTACTTGGGGAGGAATCCAAAAACCGGAGTCCTTTTGAAGAGGGTGAGGCAGAAGGAAGGGTTGGACAGCCACTGGCAGATGCTGAAAGGGTCATGAGGAAGAGGGTTCTACTTAGTGACATCACCCAGGGCTTTCCGTTTTCTAATAAATACTGATTGATGGATGGAAGTCGAGGCCAATGCCAAGGAAAGACCTCCACGTGTCCAGAGATTCTGAGTGAGAAATGCTCTCCTTCCAACTCTTCCCAAAAGGAGGTCGTTTTGGGAACACAGCACAGTGATTAAGGAACTAAACAGGCCACGGTTCTCCGGGGTCTTCTAAGCTCTCCCAGGCCAGGCCAGCCGGGAGATAAGCCTGTGACCAGAGACAGCTTCTTCTCTCCTGCTGTCTTTCTGCCACATCATCCTTCCTGAATTCTAGACATGCTCGGCCCTCCAGGTTCCTGCAACTGGAGCAGAGAGAGCTTCGGTCCACCGACTCTCCTCTCCTTCCACCCCTCCAGCGAGCAGGAGCAGGGCCTGGGACGTGGGTCGAAGGAAAGGCTAGTTGCCGGGACCCTCGGCGGCGAGGGGACAAGGAGCCCGGCCGCCTCTGAGTACCTCCGCTGGAGCCGAGGTGCTGCTGGCTCCAGGTTCGGAGAGAGCCTTCGCCCTCCCACCCAGCCGGGCCAGCTGGCGGCGAACCGCCTTTCTCCATTTACCGCGTAAATGCGCTGAAATCTCCCTATTCGTAGGGTCATCCGACGGTTTTTGAATTGCAATCCAAGAATCTCAACAAAGTACAAATGTTGTGTGGAAACATAATCAGGGTGTGGAAACATAACCCACTCGTAACTGTTAATTTTTAAAATGGGAGGAAAAATATACTGCAGATAAATCCTGCAGAATCTACGCCGGCAGTGGCTGCTTTCTTGGGGGACCCTTCCCCCCAGCGCACCCGCCGTTCCCTCTGCCTCACCGATTCCCTGCTGATCTCCAGCCGGAGCCTGAGGCTTGTCCCTGCAGCGGAGGCCTAACCTGCTTGGGCGGGAGACACCTTCTGGAAGGGCGAAGATCCCTGCAACGCTTCGGGGCTCCCAGGGCCCTGCCTCCTGCGGGGACCCTGTCCCAACACTGACACCTCTCTTTTCCTGAGCGCCCCGGGGGTGTGCTCCCAGGTCCCAGCTTCTGGGTTTGGAGAACACCCTGCCCTCGCCCCCGCAGTCCTCCAAGTCCACCCCGGTTCCTGCAGAGGGCTCGGGGACCCTGGGCTCCGCTGCGGTGCTGCCGGGGCTGGGCTAGCATCACACAGCCGCTGCACTGGGTCTGAGAGAAATTTGGGGAAAATATTGTGCACAGAAACTTATAGATCACATGTCGACATGTACCTATCTGGTCGACGGTTGTTAGGCAGCCGCGTCTGGTGTTTTTTGTCGAAACCGACGTCCTGGGTGGTGATGGTAAGCCCAGGTTGTACGGCTGCAAGAATGACCAGTGGGTCTCTCTGGAGAACGAGGCGCAATCTAAGTGTCGATGTCTGGTTGTTTGCAACTGTGCGGCTCTGCCCTGCGTTCCCTGGCACACCCAGAACAAGGCCATCTCCCGGCAACCAGGAAGGTCGCTGGATCTGCGGGGGAAGCAGCGCGCCCGGGGTGTCAGAAGCCCGGCTCCTTACCCAGACCTTTGTCACAAAAGGCGTTGGGCCGGTGTTAGGGACGAAAAGAAACGTCACAACACAACTGTGTGGAGGAGGTGGGAGAGGCTGGGGCCTGCTGGCCTTCTGGGGACAAACCCAGCGGTGCCCCGTGCACGCGAGGGGAGACTGAAGTGGTCCCTCGGCCTTCCACCCCAGGCTCACCCAGCAAGACGCCCCGCGAAAACCTCTCCGCAGGATTAAGTCGAGTCCCTTGTGGACAGTGGCACTGACACGAGTGACGCTCGACTTGGGCTCCGTGGTGGAATTCCCCGCGGAAGCGCCCCCGCCCAGCGTTCCCACTCGGCGCGGGCCCACCCGGTGCGCATCCGCCTCCCACCGGCATCCCGCTGGCCGGGCCCTGCGGCGGACAGATGTTTATTGCTCGGAGCCCGACCGCTGAGGAGACGCAGCGACCGGCGCGGATCGGCGCACCCGGCGGCGCTGGCGGGACTCTGGGCTCCCGATTGGGGGTGCGAGCGAGGGCGAGGGGGGCGAGGGGATGGAAAGAGGAGGGGGAGCGGGTGGACTAATGATGAAAAAGTCTCCTCCATCCCGGCTCCTTAATTAAATGCATGGAAAGAACCGAGGCGAGCACATCTGGTTTCAATCTGCAGCCCTTTGATGGCATCAAATGTTCTTTTCCCAGATCAGGGCTGGAAGCTCTGGGCTCACTATGGCCGTTGGGAGCCCAGAGACCATTTCCACACACTCGGACCCTTCTTTCTCCCCAGCAGAGCCTCCCGGCTACAGGGGAGGGAGAAAGAAAGAGAAGTCTAGTAATCGAGGGAGAGAGGGGGTATGCATGCGTGCGTGTACACGTTTAAAGAACATAAAACGCTTCCAATAAGCACTTAATATTTTACTTACTCGTCATATAGTAACTCATTTCTAATGAGACTATTAAAGCTGTTACCAAATTCCAACAGGTCATGAAAAAATCGCTCAGCACCTCCCCGTCCTCTGTCCAGTGAGGGCTCAGCAGACAGACTACCGACCATTATCTGCAGAGTAAGGTGGGGGCCCCGATCCCCTCCCCCACGCCCCGCGGCGCCCGTGGGGGACCCTGTGCGGCGCAGGAGCCTCGCCTCGTGCGCCCTGCCTGCTCCGCATCTGGGCACCGCGACTCTCTCGGCTTGTGGTCCCCGCCCGGGGAAGCGACGATGGCCGCACCAAAAAGGTTACGAAATTGGTCAGACTGGGGCTTGTGGGGCGGGGTGGGGGAAGAGGGGCAATGTTGATAGACTCCTCGAGGCCTCTCCTCCAGCTAAATAAATACGTAAATTTCCTAGCGCCGCAGCCGCAGCCGGGGGGTTCCTACGCGCGCGGAGAGACTCGACTCCATTGGACGCCTTCTAGGTCGCCCCCCATCTGCCCCAGTCCGCGGAACGAGCGTGGGAGAGACCCATTAGGGTCGCTGCTGTTATTTTATTGCGTTGTTTAATGGGCTGTCTCTGCCGAGCCAAACGCAGCCTTCCCCTGCTTTGCTCTCTCCCGAGTTCTCTCTCAGACGCTCCTCCACACCCCCCACCCCCAAAACTGTTAGACCAGCCGGAAATGTTTTTAAAAAAATAAAGGTAAAAGCAGAGGGAGAAGAAAATTTGATTGAGATAGTTGTGGGTTTTCTCCCACAAGTTCCCCCGCAGCTGTTATCAAAACATGCAAATGAGATTTCCAACAGGATCTTCGACAAATCTGCAGGAGTTAACGCCGAGGCAAAATAATCGGCCCGTTTGAAGTGACTGTGGGTTTCAGTGTGTCTTTTCTCCCCGTGATACTATTGCAGGGGCATGGTAATTAGACCTTTACTTAAAAAATCCAAAGGGGCTCTCTGCTTTCTCTTCCCTCCCTCCCCGCTCCCTCCCTCCCTCTCTCTCTCTCCCTCTCTCTCTCTCCCCCTTGCTCAGATGTTGGCAAAGGGGGTTTTCTTAATCAGACTGTTTTTTGGTCCGAGGCAAAGGAGGAAGAAGGAGATTGCGATGGGAAAGGAGGTCTGTAGAACGTCAGGCAGCGCACAAAAGCTTTGCCACGTAATTACAGGCTCCCATTAAGTCGAGCGCTGCCCTCCCAGGGGGCTCCCATTTTCTTGCACTCCCTACAAAGCCTCCTCCGCATGCCAGTCTGTGCCTTTTGAAGTGCCAGAGAGCTTCTTGATCCAACTGAGAAGGAAAAGGAGTCTCGCAAGAAGAGGGGGAGAGAGGGAAGAGAAAGGGGGGAGCCGCCACCACCCTCCTCCGGACTCCCGAAGCCCTTTTTTTCCCTCCTCACGAAAAGTAAAGTGAGAATCCGGCTCTCCAGTACATCTGCAAGACATCACCCTCTCCTCCTGAAACTTTAGTCACTCCTGAGAATCCGCAGGAGTGCGGAGAGGGGGAACACGTTTTCTTGAAGATGTTTTAAAGCTGGAACAAGCCTTCTTCTGTTGGTGCTTGAACTCTTGCCTGGGAATAACTTTTTTAACCTTAAAAAAACCCACTTTGATTCTTCTCTCCCACCCCTTCTTCTCTCTTCTTGTGTTTGCCTAACTCCCCCGCCCTGCTGGCCTCTCTCCCCCTTACTATTATTTTTAGTGTGTGCGTGTGGACGCTTTTGGAGAGGTGGAAGGAATTTTTTTCTCCTGACTCGAACGTAGGGTGACTTTTTGATTTGATTTTTTTGGTGTGGATTATCTCTTTGGATCGCGCCGGACTTGGCCTCAGGAACCAGCCCGGGCTGTCAAAGGCGGCTGGTGGCGGAGAACGCACTGATCTGCGCGAGGGTCCCCCGCCCTCTTTCCACTATTTTTGTGTGTGTGCTTCCCCTCCTCTCTCTCTCTCTCTCTCTCTCTCTCTCTCTCTCTCTCTCTCTCTCCACTCCCCCCTCTCTCTTCCCCACTCGACTCCTCTCCCCCCTCGCGCCCACAGCGTTTGGTGTTGATTCGAGCGGGAAGAGGGGGGTGGGTGGGATCGGAGGGGGAGACCATGACCTCCAGCTACGGGCACGTTCTGGAGCGGCAACCGGCACTGGGCAGCCGCTTGGACAGCCCCGGCAACCTCGACACTCTGCAGGCGAAAAAGAACTTCTCCGTCAGTCACCTGCTAGACCTGGAGGAAGCCGGGGACATGGTGGCGGCGCAGGCGGACGAGAGCGTGGGCGAGGCGGGCCGGAGCCTGCTGGAGTCGCCGGGACTCACCAGCGGCAGCGACACCCCGCAGCAGGACAGTGAGTGAGGGGCGCATGCCCCCGGGGCTGCGCGTCGGGGACCGAGGGTGGAGGCCTGGGCTGGGCGGCTGGAGCCCGCCCGGGGCCACGGGGAGAAAACCGGGGACAAGGGGAGGTGGCCGCAATGGCCGGAAGAAGGGCCGGTCACAGACGGGAAGGGGGATGCGGAAAGGGGGCTCCGCTGAGGGCGTCGCCGGGCCGACTCCGGAGGGAGACTCCGGGGCCTCGCGGTCGGGGTCAGGGACGCTGCCCGCCGCGGACTCTCGCCGAAGCCGCCGGGGCTGTCGCTCAGTCCCCGGAGGGCACGGCGGCCCGATCTCCCCGCACGGAGGCGGCAGGGCTGGGAAGGGGGGTTAGAGCCATGCAGATTCGAGGAGCCCGCCCCGGTTGGGAAGGCAGCGGGTTAAAGACGCTGAGTCAGGGCGGCGTGTGTGGGTTCGGGGACAGCAGGGACAGAGGAGGCGAAGGGCAGGGCGCGGGGCACAGGAAGCGGGACCGACACAGCTCCGGCGGCGCAGGGCGCTCGGGCTCCCGAGGCCTGGCGTGCCGGGCCGGCCTCCCGGGCTGCCCTCTGCCCCCCGCTGTCGCCTCCGCCTGCCAATGGGTGGAAGACCCCGGCCGAGTCCAAGGCCCGAATCACCCCCGAGAGGTGAAACGCAGCTACCGGCCACATGAACCCGCACAAGGAAGATGCGCAGGGAAGGCGCGGGCTCCACTGTCGAGCCGGTGTCACTTTGGAGGGGCTTTCTCTGTTGGCCCCAAAACCTCCAGAAAACTCCACGCGCGGGCTCCCTTCGCGGTGCTCCCTGACTGGTAGCGCGCCCGCAGGGATGTCGCCTAGAGTTAGTAACCACGCCTTTAAAACGGGACTCCAAGGGCACCCACACTCCCCGAGTCCCTGACAGACCTGTCACTTAGCTCACCCCCGGTGACACGGGCGGGCGGATAATTCCTCCTTGGAGCCTGCAAGAGCCTGAACTCAGCTGGAACTTTTAAAATGAGGCTGATCTCTTTCCCTGTCACTATTTGCCAAATGCTCTTTTGTCTTCAAATGTGGAACTTGTGGAATCAGGTATTCTGTGATCAAAACGAAATAAAACATACCCAGAGTCAGACTGTCCGAAAGTAGACAGAGCAACCGGACTTGGAGACGGCCGGAGTGGAGGCCCGGGCTGGGTGGTGGGAGCCCCAGCTGCAGTGAAGGAGCCCTGGGGAGAACCCTCCCTCTGGCCCTCGCCCCTTCCTCCCTCTGTCCAGGCCTGGGCTCCCCTCCGTGTATTTTAACCAAAATGGAACTGGGACCTATTCACCCTCCCTACTTTCAGAGGCAGAGGGCGACGGGGAGCCTGGCCTGACCTGTCACGAGGGAAAGATCGCCCACACTGAGGAATTAATACCCCGCATCCCCAAGTGTCGGGAAGGGCTAGGCACCCAGCACGCAGCAGGGGCTTTCTCGTGGCGAGAGCTGGGGCCGCACGCACTGCAGCGTTGTTTGCATGGACACTTTTAGCTCCAAGAAAACGCACTGCAAAATAGTATCGTGGTTTTTTTTAAAGGCGTTACCAGGGAAAATTTAAACATACAAAGAGTAGGGAGAATAGTATTCCGCATTGCCCTGTGCCTGTTGCCCAGCTTCACCAATTCTGCACACTCTGCCCTTGGGTCCCCGCGGCTAATGATCAATCGTAACATACATCACAGTTCTGAGCCCTGGAGGCTGGACCCACAGCACAGAACAGAGCCGTGAAGAAACTGCTCCGCAGAAGAACAGGGTGGGACAGGCAGGACCAGCCAGCTCCAAAAGCTAGCAGAGGGCACCAAAAAGCAGGCCCAAGGCCCAGGGCGGCAGCCTGCCCGGTGACCCGGCCGGCTGTGGTGGGCGCAGGGTGCTGCAGGGCTGGAGACACACTGCACATTCCTCTGTCTGACTCCCAGTGGGCGCCACAAGAAGGGAGCTCAGGTTGGTGGTGGCCTTCTAGTGGGTACTGACTGAGCTAGGATGGGCAGAGGGGGCTGGCTGGGAAGCGCTCCCAACCCAAGGTGCAGGCCACCACACCTGCAGGTTCAGGAGGCAGGCCAGGGAAGGCTCCTGAGACGAAGCCCAGGTTTAGCCCAGGCTTCGCTATGCAGCTGGCACCTGCCTGGGGTGCTCCAGGAAACACAAAGGGCAGCAGCAGGTAGAGATGGGGACGGGGAAAGGGATAAGACCCATGAGAACCTGCCTGTTTTATCTTTGAGCACATCTCAGAGTCTCAAGGAGTAACAAGGCCTGGTGGGGAGTGGACCCCGGAAAGGAAAGAGAGCTTCAGAGACTGCTGAGGAAGATGATCAACAGTTACAGAAGGAGGTCGCAAAATGCAGAGCTAGGTGATGGGGGCAAAATGACCATCACCAGGGGCTGGGAAAGTAGCCGAGAAAACACATGCACATACAGACAGAGATGGCAAGGGGCCTGTTCTAACAAATAGTTGTTGCTTTTAGAAACAAGGCTCCCTCCTCCTCCCCCATCTCTGGACCGGAGAATATAGGAGGTCCGGTAAGTTGCACAATAGCAAGTGTCCAGGAGGACCTTTGTCCTTGGTCCTTGTCCTCCACCAGCAGTTGCCCAGGAAGCTGTGGTAGGCTACTGGGAAGCTAAGATTGGCGTGGCCTGCTGTCTGCTGGGGACACTGTAAGGGGTCTCCAGGCAGAGGACATGAGCCGGGCTCCCCAGCCCGCCAGGGGCAGAACCCTGCACAGTCAGGCGCTCCTCGCAGCCTGCTGGGCGTCTACGCCCGAGTGGGAAATGGAGAGACTCTCTTTTGGAGAATTAGGGAGCCTTCTGAGACAAATTTTACTCTCCCAACTATATGGATACGTGTCCTTCCTAATTTTTCTTTTGGGTTGAAATTACTTGAAACAGACTCCATTTACACTTGCAATTTTAAATCAGTCGTGTTGCAGATTTTTCCAATTACAACCTGGGTCAACCTTGGCAAAGAAAAGCCGTGTGTCCCGTCCCAAGCAAGGGCTTCCCGCTGATCTCCCGCACCCTCGGCCCCAGAAATTCCATTTTCCGAGGTGGTTGGGGTTCACTCCACTTCTCTGTAGAACGACTTCTTTCCTCTATACTGATTCTCCCACCCTGTAAACTTCTAAACTTCTAGGTTCAACTTCCTTAAGGGTTGAAAGAAGTGGTTCTTTAACACTGTCAGGAATGGTGGATGGGGAGTGCGGAGTCAGGGGCGGGGAGTGTTCAGTGGGGGCAGTTGTCTGGGAGAGGAAAGAGGAACAGGTCATAAACCAGGCAGACCTGCTCCTAGACCGACGGTGCATCCCGCTGTCATTTCTTAATCGGAACTTCTGCAAAGTCTTAAAAAAAAAAAAAGCCTGCCTTCCACGTTCCCAGCCTCTAAATTAGTGAAACCAGATTGTCCTAATAAGACCTTTTGTTGGAAACACATGTAGTCATAAAAAGGTAGACGGAAAGTCAATTAGACACGCGCGCGCGCGTACGCACACACTCACAGGCCTGCGCTAAGTGTGCAGCGGGCGCAGCTGGGGCCCGGCCGGGATGGGATGCAAATGCGGCCCAGAGGCCCAGGAAATCGATCCGCCACAAGGGGAGAGGTGTGGGCGCCCAGTATGGGCGCAGAGGAATTGCCGGCCAGTGCCTCCGCCAGGCGCCCCGGACCCACCTCCACTTACTACTCCTACAGCAACAGACAACCAGGGATCGGGAACACTCTCTGGGCGCTCCCCAGTTGGAATTCACACCAGAATATCAATTTCCCTGGAGTCTCAGCATTTGCAACACTTACGGCGCCAGAAATTTTCTTATGGGGCACAACCCCGGAGCTGGTGCGGGCACTCTGAATTTGGGCCTTTGTTATCTCGATTCAAGGGGGGGGGGGGGTGTCAAGAAAATACATTGTTCTAACGGTAGCCCGGGGGGAGGATCTCTTTAGGGGAGGCAGGGAAATCCAGCATGAAGAAGGGTCATGAGCCCCCGAAGTCCACAATGAAGTTCGGAGGAGAGGTGGTGAACCTTGTTTATTTTACATGCACTGGACGGCTTCCGTCTCTTAATCAATGTCGGAGAAACCGACAGTGTAGCGATTCCCTCCGCTTCGGAGCCAAGGGCCACTTGGCGTTTCAAGTGTGAGGAAGGCGGGCCTGCAAAGCCCGAGGCCCCGGGCTGCCATACTCCCGGCACCAGATCCCCCAACTCTAAAAAGACGGTCATCGCCGCCACCTTCGTTCCCCCGCAGAGGCCGCGTCCAGGACTCTGGAGCGCCTCGTCCGTAGCTTAGACGTCGCCCGAAGCCGGCACGGTGGTCCGGCGACCTCGGCCTCCCGGGCGTGCTCAGGTCACAGCCGAGCCGCATCAGGCGGGCAGCGGTGGGTCACACACCGGTCCCTGCATTTTCTCCATCTTCCCAGGGCCTCATTTTAGATTTTACAACCGGAGTGAATAAATCGTCTCCAAATCAACAAGATGTCACCCGCCTACCCTCCCCTCCCCGCGCGAAACTCGCCCGGGCAACTGCAGAACCGACGCTACCCCACTGGCTCCGAACCGCGTTTTGAATGTAGTTCTCCGCCAGCAGCCACTTTCTTTTTCACATTTAAGTGGCACCAGTTGATTTTCAACCAGGAGGATTCCCAGACCAATTTGATTGCTACTTTAAAAAACGCGTTACTCTTACAATTCTTCCCCTCCTTCAGCATCCCACCAAAGCAGACCCCCAGCTCCCAGAAAACCTCCGCCGCAGAGGCTCGCGAGCCGCGGACACCCCGGTGATGCTGCAAGTCGGGGCTCATGGCGCCCCGCGCCTGCCTCGCGCTCCTGGCAGGACGGTTCGCAAAATATGCATTTCTTTTTTACCCTTTCGGAGGGATGGAGAGAACAGATGGCTTAGGAGATACAACGTTTAGAAACCCAGAGAATCTTGGTAGAGAAGGAGCCTCGCTTTTTGCTTCTTTTTCGCCCCTTACAAGGGGTGATGAGGTTTTTGGGG